TCAAGAATTATGTCCTGGAGAATGCTTAGATGAATTCAAGTTGCTGAAATTGTGGGGAATTCTGCAAGGACAGGTGGGACATGTGGAGTTTCTGCAACCGGCCTGCGTAGCTGAGGTTATACAGGTACAAGTGGCATTTCAAATGGGGCTAAATCTATCACTTCCAGGAGGGCAGGAGGTCGTTCTTCAGATTTGAAATCTGTTACTGTGTTTGTGACTATTGCAAATGTTTTTATGAACTTCTGTAGTGTCATTTACTGTAACTTGAAAATGCTGTGGAAAGTAATGCAAACCCTGATTTATACTGATAAGAACAACGGTTACAATTTACAGCACCTGTAATTTCTTGCAAGTTTAAATGCCTTGCACCTGACAGGTAACAGGATTTGGTTTACCTGAGAGGTTTTTTTTGCTTTCTGACAGGGATAAGCAGGTTAATTTTCATATTCAGGAGTTCTTCTCACAATCTTCTTGCTTGTTGGCAGAGATCTGGGTTTACAGTTGCCTGGATTTTTTAATCTGTGATGCCAGTTGAAGGGAAAGGGAAAGGGAGGTTCTGCCTTGGGCATAGCTGGTAAGTGCCTGCTGGGAGCTGTGCTCATGTAATTACTGAGAAAAGTCAGGCTCATAAAGAAATAATCTCCCCAGGAGAAGGAGGTGGTGGTGGAAAGGTAATTTGGCTCTCTGCAGCTACTGCAGGGTAGACTTAGTTAAATGCCATTCTTGCCTTCAGTGTGGTGTTTTAGCAGCTGAAGGCTTTAACAGCTGCTTCGTTGTTTTCACTCTTAAAACCCCACAAAACCTTGACTGTTTGCAGTTGTAGAAGTGCATCTACACTTCCATGAAGAGGGACAAGTTTATTGTTTGAAACTAGCTATTCAAGCTTTACCTTGAATATTTAATGAGATTTAGACTTTTAGATAAAGGTCATTGTCATGCAGTGAAGTCCTCCTACAGAAATTACAGAAGTCAAATTTCTAAACCATGTAGAACACAGAAATACTTGGTTTTCAGTCTTGGCCTGGTTAGGTAAATAGAAATATCATAAATCCACCACATGTACCTTAAAGGTTTTCTTTAGTACTTCCAAACTTGGTTTTGCTCCCAATATCAGTTTAACATGATGAAGTAAGTGTAGCTATGCTAAAACATCTAGAGATGTTTTTAGACGGTGTTTATATATAACATTGTACAAATAAAAACTTTACCCAGAAGGAATCTGTGAACTCTGTTAAGCAAAGCTACTCTAGAGCAGATAAAGACCACAGAAACTGTTTGCAGGGCTGCCATGGTTTGAGAATTTCATATGTTCAAATATACTCATGGTCTAGCTAAAAGCTACAGCTTTTTTGTTTGGTATTCAAATTGACATCCTTGCTCTGCCTGGAAACGCTGTAGAATGATTCCACAACATGCCTGTTAGTTTTCCATTCATTTTTCTTTTCCTGAACAGATGTTCCCTTCCTTTGCAATCTAAACATTGTTTATTATTAATTGACTCCTGAAACCTAATAAAAATATCTCATTTTATTGCAAAAGATAACATCACATTTAAAGGGCCTAGAAATATACAAAACATACATTAGAGATCAAGTGCCATTAGGAAGATGTTGTGTGTCTGTGCTGGCAGGATTATGATAGTGCACAGAACCATCAGAAGCCCTACACAAACTGCTGTTACTGGAGACAAATCAGTATTTTATTCATACATTTTTAATTTTTAAAGAAGGTTAGTTTAACTCCATAAAACAACAATTTCAAATACAGTAATTTTGGAATATACTGCATTCTGTGCAATGTTTTATACATAGCATATATAATTTAAATATATATTTCTCAGACACTCACAATATTTTTGTAATCAAGTGCCATCGAGTAGCTGTGGTTTGGGTTTTTGGTGGGATTTTTTGACAACTTATGGGGGGTTTGTGTTGTTTATTTTAAATTTTATTTAGGAATGTGTTTGTATTTCTAACATTTCTTTCCTCCTCTGGGAGCTGGTTTTAGGGATTATGCTGTTATTTTGTAAACCAGACAAGTTTTTTGTAGCCAGTACTTTTATATTCCAACAGTCTACCAATTTCTACTGCTCTTCCAATCTTCACACTATGAATTGTGTAGTGTGTATCTGGTACTTTTTTATTTCCTATAGGAATTAATAATTAGTTAATAAAATATTTTCAAATATTAAAAAATAAAAAAACCCCAATGCTTTCCTATCATATTTTCATATAGCCAAGATTCTTGGGGCTTGGCTGGCCGGGAAACCTCCCGAGCTTCCCTGCTGCTCTGGGGGCACAGGTCACAGAGAATTTCACATCCACACCTGCATGCTCCAGACTTTACTGACTGAGAGGAATCAAAACCCACCAACTCAGGAATCTGGAAAACAGAAGCTAATTGTGATTGGGATGTTAAGGATTAAAGTTTGGTTATGGTCCTGAATCTCATCAAGCTCAGATGTTAAAATATGAAACCTGTAAGCACTTAAATCAGAGTGTTTCAGATTTTTGAGTATTGATGTTTCTTCAGGTCATAAGAAAGACTTAGAGCCTTACTTTTAACCACCTTTGGTTGGACTTTGCTAAACTAAAAAGAGTCTTTCTGTTTTGCATAGTACTCCTGACCCCAGGAATTGATTGGTGCTATGTGGTGAACCAAGGGGATGTGGTTTGTTTAAATTAAATTATCTGGATCCTTTGAAAATAAACTGAAAGCACCATATGCATTATGTGGGCAAACCCAAAATCAGACAGCTTAAAATGAGCACTTTTTGTGCTTGTCAACAAAAAGAAAGGCAAAAGGATGGCTTTTGTATCATAAATTAGTAAAAATGGGTTCAATACAGAAAAAAAACTTGCTGGTTTTACTTGTGTTAAAACTCTTGGTGTTGCTTATTATTATCCTTTACCACAGGGGATATTGGTCTTAAAGTATTATTTTAATGCACAAGAATAATTTATACACGAATAAATCCTTCACTGCATCAATTATAAATACTAAAGCAAGAAAGGAATGCTGTTGGCACAGCAGCACAAGCAGTGCATGTACTTGAGTGTAACACAGTGATGTGTTCTGATGGAGTCATTTAATTCTTACCTTTTTTATAACCACAACCTATTATTCAGGAGCTTTTCTGTCTCACTAAAGGCATCTAAAGACATTAGTAAAAAAATAATTTCCTTCTGAAAAACCTCTACAATAACAACAGTTTTGTTCCTGTCATTTCTGTACTAACAGAAATTAACATGGAAATGGTTTTTAAGTGTCAGTCCTTTAGAATTTTGATAAATTAAGACATGGCATATTGCAAATTTTCTTCTTAAAGATTCGTTTTATAAAGAAATTAGTTCCTCCAGACAAAATTCTTCTGTGCAAAATTCTTTTTAATGTATTTTCAAATGTGTAATTAACCCTAGGAATTCAAGGAACACAGAAGTGTACAAAAAGTGTACAGACATTTAAAACTAACATTGCACAATTAATACAGAATTACTTAGAAAAATAAGATGCAGAGATTAATCTATGAATACCCTGAACCAGGGCCACTTCTAAGAAAAGGTCTGCAGTACATTCCACTCGACTTGCTTTGGAAAACCTTTTCCCCCTGCCCCCATATGAAAGGTGACCATGTTTTCATGAGTAAAATAATGGGATCACCAATCATAAATTGGGTTCCATTGGCACACCCTGTGCTAATGGCACCTTGAGTATTTTTGGAGGAAAGAAGTAGCTGCATTGACATTTGATAAAATCTTTTCAGCATATATATATAATTTTTTTTGTGCAATACAGATCAGTCACTAAATATTATTTTTATGTTCCATTTTTTATCATATATTAATTTACATCTTAAGGCAAAAAAAAAAATCTGGGGATATTCTGGTACAGCAATAGAGGTCTTAAATGGATAAACTGGGCAAATGATTCAGTAAGACAGTAGCCAAAATAGTAATTCCTCTTTATGCAGCAATTGGGTGAATACCTCTGTACTTTTAGGCTTCCAGGTGCATGAAAGAAATCAACTCACACCACCAGGATGGCTGTGGCTGCAGCGTGGAACATGAGAGGCAATGAGAATTGGGTTTGTTCAGTCCTTTAGAAGTGAAGATGTAGGAGAGAGGTCTCATTATCCATGTAGCTCTTCTTGCAGGTGCACTTGGACAGAGCAAGGTGTCACGGGCACAACCAGAATGCAGGAAACTCAGACTGGGTGTTAGGAAAACCTGGAACAGCCTTCCCCAAGGAGCTGAGGATTCTTGTCCTAGGAGATACTCACAACTCAAATTCACTGAACTGCACCTTGCTTGAGCAGGGGTTTAAGACAAGAGTGACATTCTCTGGTTTTACAACTCCCCAGTTCTTTTCAGAGAAGTCCATTAAATTACTTCTAAATGGTGGCTTTTTATAACAAACAAAGAAAAGGACGAAGTTAAAACTTAACCAGAAATTCTTTTGTTTGTTGTTTAATAAAAGATGACAGCAACAAAAAAATATTTCAGTGGGGATGTGAAATAATTTTAATTGTCTCCTTTGAGGAGAGATTTGTTTGAACAATTTAGGTTTCCCTGAATTTGTTCTTGATAATGTGGTTTGTTCAAAGCTGGATGAAGATTTTTCCTTTTAGTTGATGTTGCTTATAAATGTGAAATAAAAGCTGTGTGACATGCTTAGCTTTGTCTACCATTGCTTTTTAAAGTAGAGATTTGAACCTTGTTATTTTTGGAAAGTTGAAAAAAAGGTCTTTACAAAGCATATGAAAGTGTCCTTGGAAAAAAAAGAGAACTTCCTTTTCAAAGAATCCATTTATTTTCTTGAAAATAGTATCTTCATGCATCTTTGTTCAGTGAGCTAATTTAATTAAATTATTTTGATTTTTCAGATACTCTAATTAAACATTCTTAACCTCTGTGATTTCATAACAGCACATTTTCAGGTGTGTGCTCTCAAGCTCTTTCTGTTTCAGTGTCTTTTGAAATGTAAAAGGATGCATGAGGAAGTCAAATCCACCAGAAGCATTTTCTTTTCACCTTTTTTGTCTTTCTCCTTAACTCCTTTTTCTCGGGAGCTGGAGGATCAGGTGGTGGCTTCTGAGGTGAAGCTGAAGCTGGATTTTGCTCTGCATTGTCCAGTGTTTTCAAAATTTGATGAAATCTTCCTTCCTGTTGTCTGAAGTCATATTCTACACTATGGAGAAAAATTGAGAGATCTATGCTAGTAAGTGAGAATTTCTCCTTTTGAAGAACATGTCAAAGGCTGCTTCCCTCATCAGAATAACTTAGTGCTATTCAGTGATACAGCCTGGGGTACACACAAGGGGTTGAGGGGTTGCTCCTTTGAAAATAAGTTAATATCTTTTTTTTTTTTTCTTTGAGTGAAAAATGTTACTTTAAGTGAGTTAAGAATTCCAACATTGTGCCCAAAGCAATGGGACAAAAATGAAAATGCACCAGGATGACCTTTCAGTACATTTTATTCAAAGGTCAGATTTTGATCCCATTAATCTAACAGTCATGTGCTTGTAATTAAAAACTCTCACATGCTTAACTTTGTTAAATGTGGATGTCTCCCACTAGGACACAGGCTAGGAACAAAAATATACGAAATTAAACAGTATGTAAGTCTTTGAGATAAGTGGTGTTAGTTAAGAGGGAAGTAGCACTCATTTCCTCAATTGAAAGCCCTAATTATTACTGATGTCAAACAAGAGCCAAGACGTTAATTAGATAAGAGCAGATGAGTGCATAGAAATAAATGTGAGGTTCAAAAGTGTCAGTGTGGAGAGAGATTAAGCAGTATTGTGTGTACTTTCCTTTTTTCAATCACCTCTTCTGGGCAGGAGAGTGAGCTGTATCAGCTGTGTCTGCTGTGAAGGCTTTAGGGAAGAGTGGAAATGTTGTATTTGCCATGATGGGAGGAAAAGAGCATCATGCAAGGGGGTTGGAATGTCACTTCAAGGCCCTGAAGCTGATTTTGACACAGATCAGAAGACATTTGTAAAGTTAGTAAATGTGCAAATCTTTAAAAACTTTAAATTGTACTTTTATATATAATCTATAAACATCATTAAGTAGTATGTTGAAATTAACTAGAAGATTGTTTCCCTTAATTCATGTGTCTTGGGGTTTTTCATGAAATAATATCACTCAACAGGTGAAAAGAAAGTAGGAGGATGATTTTCATTTAGAAAAAAGTAGAAGGATTTCTTGAACAAGAAGCAATGCATAATAAATATTTAAAAAGCAGAAATAAGTGCTATAAAATCAATGCCTCTTGTATTTTATCAGCTTATTACTAAAACTGCAACTTGATACCTTTCAATATTCATAGACCAAGGGTGCTGGAGAACAAAATGTTGGGTTTATAGAATACATAAGGGTAGGATATGCTCATGTTCCTTTTCTCCACCCTTCTTCAGAGTTTTTAATTTGATTTTGGAGTTCTCATCTCCAGAGGCAAGGGGTCAATTCAGTCTTCATTTAATACTGCCCATGATAACTGGTTTGGGTTGCTACTTGCATTTGTTTATTACAATACAAACATTTCTATTACATGACCTGGATGGAAAATCCCAAGCCTGGAATCCCTGCTGGGTAGTTAATAAAGCCAAATTTACAGTCACTGTTAGGCTGAAAAGCTCTTTATTACTTTAGTGATCAGTGTAATCCACAGGGGGATTTCTGTGAGATTCATGCATTGTTTGACTCAGGGATTGTGTGATAAAGATGGATCAGTGACAGCAACCCAGCACTCCGCATGTGCAGGGCTGCAGCAGTGAGGAGTGAGGCTCTTTAGGAGCAGGAAAACTGGGGGCAACATAAAACACTTGATGTTAATCACAGCTGGGATGCTGTCTTAGGGAAAAATACTTGCATGGACATTTCAGGCCATATAAAACACAGGAATTGCATGTGTTTGTCTGGAGCAAACACTGACAACAATTGCTTCTTTCAGAATATTGTCTGATGAACTTCAGATATTAGTCACTCAGAATGCTTTTTCATATCCACATCCTGTGGAACACCTCTGTAAATCAAAAACTCTTGTTTCTTTACTGTTTCCTCTTTGTCTCTTAAAAATAGAAACTTTTTAGAGCACCTGTGTTCTGCACATGTTCTATTAATCATTGCAGTGTGTGTGAGCCTCCAGGCACCATTACTACTGCAAACTACCTGGTAAATCAAAAAGGCCCCTGAGTTTTTTCTTACTTCCTCTGTTCTTTCCTTTGAATGATGGTGCTTGCTGTTCAAGATCTATCTTTCACTGAAACCATGTAAACTTAAAAACACGGGGTATTTTTGCAAAGAGAGAAGGCAAGGTGGTCTGTATATAAATTCTAGAGAGTGACCTGTTCATGTCTAGGCCCATAAAACACACAAAGATTGTTTGTTCAGAGACCTTGATCAAGTAAAGGAAATCCCTTTTTTCTTTTTTTTATGAATACAGTCTGTGCTCTTGGACAAGTTGTGTAACTTCCCAGGGTTTCCAGGGGGCTGTGAAGAAGACCTACAGCTTTGTCTCAGAGGAGTTGTGTGTTTAATTTGTGACATGTTAATTAGTTGGAAATTTCATTAGCAGAGGTTTAGGACATCAGTATGGGACTGAGTTGCATGTTGGACAATAGGTTCCAGTGCTATGTCTAGTTCATTAAGCTCTTTACTAAATTTGGTTCATGCAGAACGTGCAGTGTGAAAAACACTTCCATGTGAGTATTTTCTATTAATTATTTCCATTAAAGTCATAGTGATTACAAACTGCTGGAGATAATGGCCTACCGTGTTCTTTGAAAGGAAGGAAAAGCTTTCAGCCTCAAGGAGAAATTCTCTTACTCTTTATTTTTGTAAATGTAAACAAGTAACCTGTGTGTGGGGTTTCTGCCTTGTAACTGAGCTTGCAGAGATTGGATAATGTCTTTATAAATTCCCTTGCTGAGTGCACAAGGTACAGGTGCAGCACAAGCAAGACTTTGTGCCTGCTGGCTTTGGGGTTGATGTCTGGACAGATGAAGGCTCTTAAGAGTGTGTTTGTACAGACACAGCATTTGAAACATGTGCAGCTCCCAGAACACAGCCCTGAAATCTTTCTGGCCATAAGAGTTTAGCATAAACTGCACTTTAAATCTGAAGTAGTCTACACTCAAATTGCACTTTCTGAAATTAATAACAATGGAGGAATTTTGGGTTTGTTTTGAAGGTTAACATGAACTGTAGCTGTAGCCCACTGGCATTCAGAGAATTGAGAGTTTATCTTTTCCAAGATCTAAAATTATTACAGAAACCCTAGCTTCAGAAATGTACCACACAGAGGAATTCCATCATCAGAAATGGCATCACAGGTCTTCAAATCATGCCAGTAATAACACTGTGAAACTTTAGAGGGAAGTTTCTGTTTGAATTCTCCCAAGTCCAGTCCCCCTTTCCTTTCAGCTACCACCACAGTGAATTGTTTTCTACTTGGGGAACAAACCAAGCACCTCATACAAGCCACTTGGTCTTTTCTTAAAAACTGGGTGAGTCACAGTTGAGACATTTTACAGGTGTGAGCAAAGCAGTGTTTTGTGCAGCTGGGGGTGTCCAGGCAGGACAGGACTGAGGGGGGAGCAGGGTACCTGTAGATGATGCACGCCGTGTTCTGGCAGGTGCTGCAGTTGTTGAGGTCCTGCCCAGTGTGGTAGAAGTTCCTCCTGGAACAGACAGCAGCTCATGAGATGTGGAGTTACAGACACAATAACAGAGCTCTGAGCCGTTTATGAACAAAAGCCATTCTGTTCACCACTTCTGTTAGCTCTACTAAAAATTGTAGTATCAAATTCTAAGCTGTAAGGTTTCTTTAAACACACACAAACCCTGTGAGCCTTGTCCTGACCTCTCCCACCTCATGCTGTTAAGAGTTCTGGTTGTTGGTTCTGGTATGAATACTTGTTATGAAAACACTTAGACATGAGACTGCTTCTAACAAACACACTTTCAAGTATTTGAAAATCCATGCAATTTGCTGAATCAGTCTGATCTCTGCCCTTATGCTTTCCAGTCTTCCCTTTTCATGTTTCCTTATTTGAGTAAAACCAAGTCAGATTTTTACTGCTGCTAAGTTAAAAATTTGTAGCATTGAGAAAAAAAGAAAAGTAAGTTTTTGTGCTTAACACCAACTAGAGCTGAAATACTTTTATGATGGAGAGGCCTGCATTAGAAACAGGTTGAGATTGGTGGCTCATTATGTCTGAAGAAAGTGTAACACTTATATTTAACAAGTTTTATTTAAATTGGGGGAGATCAGTTAATACCAAAATGATTTTCTGATTGTTTTGGGAAAAATGGGAGTTCTTCATGTGTGTTGTTGTGCTATCAATAAAAACAACTGGAACATTTAGTGTTACTGTGAGGTGAATCTGCCAAGGTGGATTGAAGCTTCTCATTGAATCTCAGAGTGACATTTCAAAATATTTGACTTTTTTTTTTCTTTTCAACCATGTGGTAACTGAACGGAAATAGATTATAAATATTGCTGGAAAATCTGACCATGCTTCACTGCAAATCAGTCTTTGCTATGGGCAGATTCACAAAGGTAATTGAAACTTAGGTTCTCCCCTAGAGAGCTGCATGCAGGGAAGGAGAAGCCATGCAGGCATGGCTGTTCTTCTCTGTCCCTTCCTGTGGAACCTCAGTCAGGTGCTGTCTGGATGAAGATAACAACAGAAAAATGACTGCTTAGGCTTGAGACATACTTGGATCCCTGCCTCCAATCCTGCCTCTAACCTTAATTTTTGGTTTGGAGTGTTGTAAATGTTTTTTGCATTTTTGCTTTTAGTCTGTCTACGAGGATTTTGTCTCTTGTGTTTAGGCTGTTACAAATTTGGTGCTAGAAAATCATATGGAACAAGCCATTGAGAGAGGCTATGTAACACTGAGGGAAGAGCTGAACTGTATGGGGAAAATGTTAGATAGAACAAGAATTTATGTGGGCACAGTGGAAGCTAAGGAAAGTATTTTCATGCTAACAACCAGATGGACATTACCAATTAATGATAAAAAAAGAAAAAAAAGGGTAGTATGTATGGAGTAAAGTCACACACTAACCTGATTTATATAGTTTTAAATTTTTTTATGAGTGTAAATTCTTATTTGAATTGTGAGTTGGAATGTTAATTCAACAGAAATACAAGTTAACTTCAATTTCGAGCTAAAATACTAAAATACCTGCACAAAACCCTCAGTGCAGCCTCCTTGTGATGTCTGCACAGTTTGTGGACATGTGGAATATTACCTGATTTGGTCATTATTGTTATCAGTAAATACAGCTGATACACATGATCCAGTTTTAGAATTAAGAGTGCACTTTTGCATGCATAAGTGATTTATCTACATGCATGAGATGCCTATGCTAAATATTAAATTTATGGTAGCATAGTCTCTTCATGTTCTTTTTTCTTTAAAAAATGAAATGGAACCTTTATCCCCTTGCTTTGTTTCTGAGTTTTTCAAAGCTGTTTGAAGGATATACTACTTTACAACACAACAGAACTTTAAAGCGTGTCCTAGAAGCAACTACTAAGAGATGCTGTTGGTAGTTTGGAAAGCTCTATTAAAATATTCTGAAACCTGTTTTGACCATAAAAATAGTAAAAATTCTATTTTAACTTTGTTCTGTCTTTAGATGTTAGTTGCATTTACAGTATTATTATTATTTATAATGCACAATAGTGCATGAATACTGCTTGTAGCCTTGGCACAGTCTGTGTCACCATAGTGACAATAAATACAGGGGTTTTTACATTGTTAGGGGGGTGAGAAGGGAGCCACTCTGAAACCTGAGAGTCTGAAACCCTGAGTCAGAGCTCTTGCTGACAGCCTTCACATGCTCTGTCCTTAGCTCTCAGTCTGGCTCTGTGTGTGTCTGACCTTGCCACGCTTTCACACCCTAAATCTAAATAAAAAAGGAGTTGTTAAGCTGGGTCTTGCACTGGATTTTGTAAACGCAGTGTCAGCTAAAGCCAAACTATAAAGGGACTTGCTTCTCTACTGAGGCCCAAACATCATAAAAAGGGTGTAAGATACATTTTTGCAAACTCATCTTTAAATATCAGAAGAGCTGTGTTTTTCAGTAGCAAAGGTTAAAAGAATGCTAACATCTACTTTACACTTCTAATGAATTACTAATATTAAAAATGAACCATACCCTTCACTGAGTGCTCTGGATTTTTCCAGGTCTTGGATTACATTCAAAAGAACTTTAATCTTCTCCTGGTTGGACTGCAAGGATTCCTCTACAGACTGCAGCCTGCCTTGTAGGGCACAGAGTTCTCCATGTGCCAAGTGAATTTGATTTACTTCATTAATCTCTTTGTTGCTTTGTGGGTTCATTTCATTCCTTGGTGGAAAAGACTTTATGTGAAATCCTTCTGAGCAGCTGTTACTCTGGGAAACCTCTGACTGGGTGCAATTGTTCTGGATTTCAGTGTTACACGGTTTGGATGCATTGCTGCTGGGCAGTGACACTGGGGGGCAATCATCACTTGGGAATGTCACACAGCTGGAACCTGGCTTGTGCTCTCCTGCCTGGTGACAGTCTCTGAGGAAACAAGGAGATGAGCTGTGATTTGATGGGGGTGACAGCGGAGTAGTTTCCTTACTGCTGGCATCTTTGCTGGCTGCAGGTGGCTCAGGAAGGCTTTCCTGCACCTCAGGAGCAGCAGAGTGGGGGTTACATTCACTGCAGTTCCCAGAATTGCTCAGGCAAGGCTCTGCCCTGTCAGAATCAGATGACAGTGTGCTGTTTGCATGACTTTCGTGGCTGTTGGTGACGGTAGAAGAATGCAGTGAATTACTTGAAGCTGTGGTTGTGTCTGGTGCATCCAGGGGAACGTTTCTGTCTTGTGGGAAACCCACATGAATGTATTCAGGCACCTGTGTAGACGCAGTTGTCTTGTCTGACACTGAGAAATCCCCCGAGCACTTCGGTCCGTTGCTTTGTGCTTTTGCTGGCCTTTGACCCAAGCCCACCTCACTATTCCTGCATCCATCCTCCAAGTGATGACTTATCCTCAAGTAGCAGAGCTCTGAGGACAGAATGTCTGGTTCACAAAGGTTGCCATTTACCTGGATAGAGTTTGCAGGCTCTGCTGGCATTTCTGTCAGTGATTTGCTTACTGTCAGCTTTTTCCTTTTAAAAACAGGGAAGTGTTTCCTGAGGCTGGGAGAAGTTTGTATGGCAATATTCCGAAGCCCCTTGTGAGCCCTTGGAAAAGTTGGAGACTGAGTTAGCAAAAAATTGTGATCCCTAAATATTTCTGTTTTGCCAGTAGTGAGTGCTGTGTCTCGGGCAGGATTAGCCTCCAGCTCTGCCCGGGTGCTGACACCATCATCCTTGAAGCGGACCTGCTGGGATTTGCTCCTGCGGTGCTGGGGGGGCCTCATGAAATCTGCTGAGTCCAGACTGTTCCTTTTCAGTAGCACTGGTCGCATTTTCATGTTTTGCTGGGCCACTGAATCACAGTTTAAAGTCTGTAAGTAACGTGTTTCTTTGCGACCCATTTCATTTGACATCTGACCTGTATGTTAATGTTGTTCCTAAGATACAAATTAACACCTTACTCCTGGAGCTTATCATTCTTCTTCTTGTTATTATGTATGTTTTCCACTGGCATGTTCTCTTTAGGGATCCTCTTTCAAATTTAATTGCAATTAGACCAAAACTAAGATAAATTAAATACAAAATTTAAGCAAAGATTTCTTCTAGCTTGGGAATGCAGAAATCCTTTTACCTGCAGCTAACATGGTCTTTGTATTACAAAATTGCAGCAGGCTATTTCAGTGAGCTAATTTGAAGGTAAGGTTGAGTCTATGGCTTTCCTGGAGGCTTTCATTTGACAGCAGCTCTCCATTAGGGATCCAGCTTTTTTTTTTCTGATGGACCAGTCACATGTGTTTTATTTGCATGTTGTCTAAACAAGCATAGTAACTTCTGGGGGCATTTTCATTTCTGATGCATATTTGTACTGATGGAATATATCCCTTAAAACTGAACTGAATTGCTTTCTTTAGAGATAGTTTTTCTTCCTCAGCCATCTTTTTAATGTCCTGTTGAAACTAATCTTCCCAAAGAGGTAAGGAAAATGTCACCACTTATGATCAGCAAAATAGAGCATTCAGAGGGATTCAGTGAGAAAAGTTACTGATGTCTAGTTGCTACTGCCATTCTTGCAAACAGAAAGCAGATCATGTCCAAGGTCATGTCCAAGGGGTTGCCTCAGTTCTGTAAACAGGACAGAGGTCCAGGCTGAATAACCAGAAAAAGCAGAAGAGCAGAAAGCGTTTCCTGAAAATAAAAAGACAACAGTTTGGCTGAGCAAAGTGACAAATGGTGTGATTTCCTGCTGCTGTCTCCTAGGCACTCTCCAACATCTCTGCTTCTGTAACTTTGGCAAGGAGACACTTGTACAAAAACTGAAAAATGTCTTACAATTTTCAAGTGGCTCAAGGTTTTTTCGTGTGAAATACAATGCTCAAAAAATGGATATATATATTTATATAGAACAGATACAAAATATCATAAGCCTGAATCTGGTCCCAAAAGCCGATCATAAAACTTAAGAAGTTAGATTTGAGAATGGCCACTGAATCCTGTTGTGGATGAAATATCCAAAACTGAACAATACAAATGTGAGTTCTTAATTTGGAGGAAAGTTGAGGTTTGAACAAAAGCCAATTTTTTTGTTGTTTTTAAAGTTACTAATTTTCAAGTGTTCCAATTTGAATACAAGATTGCAGCTAAATTCCCAGTACAGTGGTAATTTACTATTAATCCTGTTCCCTGCTAATTCACTGGACATTTCATTAGCCTTACTACTTCCGTTAGCTCAGAAACTTTTATTTAAGCATTGCACAGATTTTAACATATTTAATTTACAAGAATTGAGGAGATGGGTGCAGTGGGAAAGATCTTGTTACAGAATATAGCACACTGTTATGCAGCATCATGTAACATTTAGGCACTCTAATACAATTTAAGCAAAGCAATAATGTGATATTACTCTGTTATAAAGTTTTAGAAGAAAATGAGTGTTGGATTATTTCACTGCAGAGAGAAACGTCACATAAGATATTTAGAAAATAAATATGTGCATTAATACCAAATTTTACTTTTGTGATATTCATGAAGTCATGGGAAATCTCTGTGCTGATTGTGCACTGGAAACAAGAATCACAGTAAACAAGTCCAACAGTTTCTGCAAACAACATTCCAGTGCCAAGTTCTGAGTTTTCATTTCACCCACTAATTACCAGAGATTTTAACGGTTCTGTTTGAGAATTTATCCAAATATTGCAGCAGCATTCTCCCCATCCCAGCTGCTGTGCTCCAGGCAGATGGACTACTTTAAAAGTTATACTTGCCCAATTAAATTCCGAAAGAAGCTTTAGAAAGCTAATCCTTTGTGTTTTAAATAAAAGTAAAAAGCCCTTAAGGGTTTTACGAGAGCTCTCCTTGGGCTGTAGAGGCATTTGAGCTACATTCCTGCATTCTTAATTTGAAAATTGCTATTTTAACTCTGTTGATTTTTAGCTACCTTGTCATCCAATACTCTGGGTTTACTATGAATTGTAATGAACATTTTAGTGCTGTTGTTTATATTAAATCAAGCTGAAAGGAAAAAAAAATATATAGCTAGGAATGTTCAAATATTTGGATTGAAAACCCAGACTGGTGAATTTCAATGAGTTATAGGTGTCTGTTCTTGAGTTAACAAATCAGTTCAACATTGCCAATTACTAAGTTTAAATAACATTTTCCCTAGCCCAGCATCCAATTCTTTATTCTTCCCTGACACAGCAATTTTAAGTTCTTGTTTTGCTTATTATTTGACATTGACTGAAGTAGGAAAAATCCTAAGGATCCATTTCATAGAAGTGCTTTCAATGTATTAATTTAACTTATTTCACTCATAAAGAAAATATTAATTCAGTTTTAAATTAATGTCTGGTAGTAATACTAACACTTTTAGTAGAAGAAATTCACTGGGGTTTAATGTTGCATGGATCCAGCTCTGCAACCTCTTCCTTGTTCCCTGTGTGCTCTGCTCCATGAACTCCGTGGGTTTTTCCAGTCCCTCCATCCCCTGTTGGATAAGTGCCCCAGGAGGTGCTGGATGTTATTTTTAAATGGTGCACATTTCATGCTCCTCTTTTCAATGTTTTGAGTATGTGAATCTGACTGATGTTGCATTTTTTTTCTGTTTGGCTTGGCTGGTACTGTTAAAGAAAATCTTGACTTCTAAGGGCTCTGCATTCTTTGCACACACAATTTTGGTGGTGGTAGTTCCTCTTCAGTGTAAACTTATCCTTGCTCCACTGAAATTGTACCCCAGGGTGTAACCAGTGAACCCCCTAAAAAACACTCAGGTGCAAAGCCTGCCCCTCCAAACAGCAATAAAAGTGCTTTTCCAGTCTGGGGACTGTGGGTCTGAGTTCTGAGAAATGCACACACAGCTTAGTCAGACTGCCAGGCAGAGGAAGTTCGACAAGACATAGATATTTTTCCATATAATTTTTCTTCCATCTTTCCTGCTTCTGCCTTCCCAATTTCTTCAACGGAGTCAAACATATTTTTTGGTTCATATTTCACTTTAATGGCTGAAGCTGTGGGTAGAGAAGTGCAGTGGTAAGGATAAATGGAGATTACAGGAATTGCATGGAGTGAAAACCATGCAGCAACAGACAGTGGGGATTTTGGAAGAGTGCAGGTGTGTGAGAGTGGTGGTTCTGGGGGTTTTCCGCAGGTTGTGGCAAAAGTTACTTATTTCACATGGTTTTCAAACTTTCAGCTGCAATTGGACACCTTAACTTTTCATTTGACAAGTTGATTTTAAAAAATAAATATTTTTCTTATAGTAAAATTGTGACATATTTTAAAATTTTTGTTTTCCTTTATATATGGTTTAAAAACAATATTTCTTGAAACTAAATGTTCGAACAGAACCTTTTCCATAAATAAAGGAACTAGGTAAAAACTTGTGGGAGCTTTCAGGAGGAAGGTGATTAATCAAATTTGCCTTTCACTTTTGGGCATCCACCCTTGAAATTTCCCAACTCAGTCTATGGCAGTGGGTTGGAACAAGGTGATTTTTAAGGTGCTGTCCAACATAAACTGTTCTGATTCTGTGACAGGTGACAGCTGTAATAACTGTGAGATAATTTATTCCAACTCAACGGTTTTCTGTCATGTCTGATTTGTGGTTTGTCCTGTAGAAAACAGATTTTCCATGGTGAACATTTGATGGACATTTTCAGTTTAGAGAGGCAGCTTGCTGTATTTAATTATGGTTTGTGCTTGATAATAAGCTGCTTTCTAGGTGGGAGATTGTCAGGTTCTAAGAAATCTGTGTGACTCTCACTTTCCCTTCATGTTGCAAATCTTTCCAGGGTTCCTAAACTGTTGCTGGGATCAGAGACTGCATGTGGGGGCTGCTGTGAACTCTGTGCCTGTCAGTGGCTGCAAACAGCCTGGCCACTGCAGAGATCTCCTTCTATGCAGGTTCAATTTTCAAAACAAAAAATGAATATCTGAAATGCACCATTTTTAGTTAACAAGTCTGAATTAAGGCTTTAATTGTGTTGGTTTGGATGTTGCTTTTGTTCCGCTTCATTTTCTGTCTCCATCAGAAACTTCAGCAGTAGCTGTTGGCCAAGCTGCTTAATTCAGTCATAACTCTTCTTTGCATAAAAGTCATGTTGGGTTTTTTTTTTCCTCAAAATAATGAGAGATGTTGAGGGTAAGTTTAGATATGCTTCTGAAATCCCTGGAGACTGCAGTGAAACATACATCACCAGCTAGCACAGAGAGCTAGAGATGGATTGGAAACCATTGGAATTGGATGATGCTGAAAATTACCTCTTTTTCCTGTCCTTCTTTCTTGCAGAGGGAAATGGATGGAAATGTGCTCAGAGTTCCAGAGGAACTGCATGCAAGGAAGCCTCTGAAGGGAATAGTTTCAGATGAAAATGGGTGACAGATGCAGAGCCTATAAAGTAGAAACAGTCCCCCAGAAGTGCAAATTTGCAGCTTACTGTGATACACAGGAAAAGCTGGCAGGGAACAGGAAAGATGAAACTGCTGAGAGAGATTTTTAAATGGCCTCTGTGTACAGGGGCCTGTTGTTGATCACAACAAGGACTCTTATTGCTTTGGGTCCCACAGAATGAAGCACAAAACTATTTATGAAAGTAAATGTGTTTATTATAAGAGATGGAGTAATTTGTGGAATACAGTTTTGTACCTGGAGTTCTCTCCAGTGCACAGCTTGTCTGGTGCAATATTCTGCTATTTCTTACTCTAACTGGGCAGTACACAGAGTATCTGTGTCTGTAAGGGTGCATGGCCACAGAGGAGTTCTCTGGATGTCCCTGGATGGGCTCAGTTTCCCCCTACAGCAATGGTTTGGTAATGCTGAAGGAACTTTGCTTGAGCAAAAAGGACTGAAGAAGGCAAGAACTTTTTTATAAATCCTGCTGGTGGGTTTTGTAAGCCACCTCCAGGGGGGATCAAGGTG